TGCAGAATAGCCCAAGGGAGCCAGCAAATTCCTAACAGCTTATTCAAACAGCTTCCCTGGCAGAGTTGCAACAGGTTCTCCTGTTCTGCTTCCCATGCTGTTGGCAACAATCCTCTTGTGGACCTCTGATAATGAGCACCATGGTAGCTCAATTTACCAGGTATAATAAGATAACTACCAGTTGGCAATCCACTGCACAACAAAACCAAGAAAATAAATCTCACTCACATGATGATCATGATTCCCCATATAATTCTAATAAAATACCCCAACTCCAGAATCCAGTAGCTCCTAGCCCTTGAATCTTTTTTTTTTAAGTTCCAACTCTTTAATGCCAACACAGTAACCATTTTCAGGAGTTAAATGTCTATAAATCTGTGTTTCACAAAATCTTCATGTCTGTTACCATCATCACCATCACTGACATCAACATTCCTGACAACTCTCAAGCACTTGCTAGAGCCAATAGCCCTTGAATATGGCAGCTGGAAGGTCATGAATGTCACAGAGCTATATTCAGGACACTGTGAATGGTGACTGGATACAGAAGGGTAAGGAAAGGGGGAGAGCACACATCCACAGACCACTGTCTTTGTGATAAACACTCACCCAGAATGTTTTACCCACATTTAATGTTTATCAATGAAATTTGAAGTACTCCATTTTCCATTTTATAGGTTAAGAAATTATGGTTCACAGAGATTAAATTGCTTGAGTTAAATCAACTAGCTAGAAAAGTGGAGCTGTGAATTGAAGCCACATATGGCTTTAAAACACACACAGATTCCTATAAATAGCAAAACATTCTATAATTACTTGTGGTTTGTGCTTAGATATACACCTCCAGCCTCAAGCACTAATAAGTAGGGCTTTTTCAGTGGCTGGATTTAGAGTGTGTGAAGCTTCAGTTGAATCATGATTCAATGCTAGGCTCAAGGGCACATTAAGGATCTGAATACTAACTGCCCTAATAATCTGGATAAGATAAAATCATCAGAAAGACATTCTTAGGATATCCCTCTCTCTCTCTTTTTTAAATCTCTTGCTTTTTGTGTCTTCTGCCCACCATGAACTATTTTCTTCTGTGAAGTCACTCTACATAATAAGTCGCCAGCTTATTGTGAACTGAAACCTCTACATTGTGAGCTCAATAAACCTTTTCTCCTTTAACTTTGGGTGTTGAGTGTTTTGTCTCAGTAAAGAAAGAAAAGTAACTAAGACAATCACCTGACATTTAAGTGCTTATTATAAGCCAAACACTGTGTTTTAGCAGATACAGGTTTTCATTAATCCTATTACTACTTTATTAATTAGATACAACTATTGCCACCATACAGTTGAAGAGACTAAGGTTCAGGGAGATACAAAAGTGCATACTATGTGGTACTTTCCATCTCTGTTACTCAGGTGTCAGCTGTGCTGCAGAATCTGAGACAACGTAAATAATCAGAGTACTGGGTTGGAAGAAAGTTCACCTCCATGTCAGCTCTGCCACTCATCCTGAGATCTTGGGCAAGCCACTTGTTCTGTCCAAGACTTGATGCTTTCTCTAGCTAACAGGATGTTTTATATGATCAACCAAGATAACACTGTTTGGAAACTATAAAACTTTCTATACCCATACAGTCAATCCATCAGAAATATATAGGACTATGAATAACAAACAACCTGATCAAGTTTGCACATTTTGTGTTTGTAGTACATATGTTTGTATATATTATGTATTATGTATGTTATAGACATAATCTTAGATATACAAGGATTTTGGCAGTATCAGTTACTCATAGCACCAAGTCTCTTCTAGCTTACTATTTTGCTATCTGTAACATGCTGACTTATCATCTTTGTGTCTAGCACTTCATGATCACATTGCCTCTAACAACTCCAGCTAATCATATGATTATGGTTTAGACTGAGAATACCCCTCTAAAGCTTTATATGTTCAGAAGTGGGGCTTTTGGAAGGTGACTGGATCATAGGGGATACTATAATCATTAGTGGGTTAAGGCACTAAAGAGTTCAGAGTTGAATATGTTGTTGGGTGATGAGGCCTGGTTACAAAAGTTAGTGGAAAGGAGAGAATGTAAACTGGAAGGATGTATCTCCTTTTCTTGCTCCTCCCTTTCCTTTCTGTTTCCTGCCTACCAAGACATGAGCAGCTTCTCTATGCCAGACCCTTTTACTCATTTCTTCTTGCCTTAGATGCAAATGATTCCAGACTGAATCCTCTAAGCTGTAAAACAAAGTATACCTCTCCTCCTTTATATTGTAGGTGTTGGTTATTTCATCTCAGTGATAAGAAAGTAAGGCACACATCTACATTTGGGCAAGGAACTAATATAGGAAGCTGTATCTGTCCTTTTACTGCAAAAATAAAACTTTCCTGTAAACTGCATTAGCATGTTCTGCTTATATCTCATCAGTAAGAAATAGCTCACCTGGGGCTGGGGAGATAGCTAGGTGGTCTGAAAACTTGCCTGTGAAGTTCAAGGACCCAGGTTCACTCCCCAGCACCTCATGATGTGCCAGCTCCAGAACCTTGGGTACACAGTTCTGGCCACCAAAACCAGGCATGGTGGTGCAAGCTTGTAATCCCAGTGCTGGACAGGCTGAGCCAGGAGGATCTCAGAGCCAGGAGTCTGAGCTGAGTAGTGAGGACCTATACCAAATAAATAAATAAATAATAAAAGGAGTAACTCAGTTATATACTCTAATTGCAGAGAAAATGAATAGTATTTTATTTACTCATCTCCCATAGAGAAAGCAGACAAAGAAAAAAAATGGGCTGACCTTTCACCTGTGGCCTCAGGGCTAGCCAGTTCCTCCTGCAGTGCTCCAAACACATAAATGGTCAATGTTGGGCTTCAAGTAGATGGACACTGCAGATTCTTGGCTATGTGGTTCAGGCTGACCTGGAACTCAATGTCTTGGCCTCTTATATCAGCCTCCTGAGAGCTGGAATTATAGGAAGATAGAAGAAGTTCAATATTCTTTACCCTCCTAAAGAGAGAAAATAGTGGCAGGTGGACTGCAGGAGACACTTCCAGATCTTCATCTCAGTCCAAGAAGCCAATATTTGTAATCCCAAAGTTACATTATTGGAATCAACTTGATTGGATTCCATCAAGTTGATTCCAACCTACCACTTTTAATGCAACCCACGGTGAAAAGAGACTCTAAATTATATTTCCAATCATCAGGGAGTCAAGGGGCTCTACGTCCAGCCATGAAGATGGCTTTCTGGAACCAAGACAGCGACCCAGGGCCTCACCCAGTTTTATTCAGTAGGGAGTGGCTTGAGGATTGACTGAGAACTGTGGGAAAGAGACTACTATGAGCTGAGCTAGGTGGGTGGCCTAAATTTACCTCTGCAATATGCAGAGAGAATATGCGGAGAGAGTAATCTGCATTATTTAGTATCTAATGTTTTGGTAAGTCTGAAGCTTCAGCTTTGATGTAGTCTTTCAAGCCAAAGGAAGTCATAGCCTCTGTCTCGAGGCTTGATACCAGCTGGCAGCATGGAGCATTAGCTCTACCATCCTGTCTCAACCCGGCTCACATTAAAGAGCAGCAGGTAAAGATTACCAGGGAAACATGCATGCCACCTTCAAAGACTATCACCAGCACCTCAGCTAGACCAATATACATTGCTTAAGGCCAATTGAAGGATAAACAGAAGTCCTAGCCAGCTCTGTACATAGCAATAGGAGGAAATAGAGTCAGGCTCAGTCAAAATGGAGGCAGTTGCACTTCTTTCAAAGAGAGCTGATCAGGTGGTCTTCCACAGTGTATTACATAAGCAGCTTTCAGTGAACCTTCATGTGAATGAGAAACCTGCTTCCACCAGGACATCAGATGTCTGGCAGCCCTGTGTCACTGAATAACCAAAGAAACACATCCTGGCTATGTTTGATGTTGCTATTATTGACTGTACTACTTTAGCTGTTCTAATCAACAGCTCTTCCTAAACAGATCACCTAAGAAAAATAAACAATATAGGCCAGTGCCAAAGAAATGGGCAGCAGCTTCTCATCCTCAATCAATTGAAAGAGTATGAATTAGCAACAGACTGGAAAGCCAACTTCACCTGGAAGATACGTCTGAGAAATAGTCATTTTCCAAAGCTCCTAAATACAGGCAATAAAACTATTTGCTATAAACAATATACAAACATCAACCCAGGAAGTAAAATAAAAATACAAAAACTGAGAAGACACTTAAGCAAGATGAGACTCCAGACTTCAAGCTCAACAAAGACAAGCCCAGGAGTTGGGCATGGTGGTGCACATGCCTGTGATCCCATAACTCTAGTAATAGTAACCTTAGTGAAATATTGGTTAGTGATTCTAAAGCACATATAGATTAAAAAAATAGAGGAACTTGGGAAAATGATGGGAACCATGAATGCCCAACATAAGAAATTCCAGAAAGTTGGGGTAAATGCCTGTTGCTTTTTAGATAAGGTCTCACTGTAATCCACACTGGCCTTTAACCTGGGGCTGTCCTGGAATGATAGGTGTGTGACACCACTTTGCCCAATTATTTTGTTTTTTTGCATGAAAACAAAGCTCAAGTTACTAGATCACTTGGCTAGTAAACACAAAGGTATGAACTAATAACTATTTGAAACTAAATAGCTTCAATGATGAATGGATTTGACAAAGATTTGTTACTGAAGTTTCAGTCATCTAATAAAATATGTATGTGGCCTTTTCTTTGAAAAAAAAAAAGAAAGAAAAAGAAAAAATGGGCTGAGAATGCAGGTTTGTTTACCACCTTCTGATTTCTGCTTCAATTGGTATTATAAAACCAAAACAGCTTAACTATAGATTTGACTATGAAAGGACTCTAAAACATGCTTTACTACAAACATCAGTACAAAAATTTAAGTCTCTAGTCATGTTTGTTTTGATATCCTTTCTCCTTTTTTTAACTCTAAAAAATGTAAACAGAATTTCAATTACTCAGCTAAAAAAATTAACTTATGGTGATTTTTGCAGAAATCCAGAGAGAAAGAAGGGATGTAGTGAGAAAGATTGTTACAGCTACCACAAGAAGGCCACACAGTGGGCCATGGGTCAACCCTGGGCCTGGAAGACTGGGTAATGAAACCAGACCCAGTGTTCAAGAGGATGAAGAACACTTCAATCCTGACAATCCTTACCATGTGCGTATGGTGTTTTTTGTGACATGCTTACATGAATGCGTTAAACATTGACATGATTTTTCCAAGGCTTCATGTGAGTGCTTCTTCCTCAATTCTTCTAAAAATATATCAACTCTTTGGTGGAAGATTTGTAATTAAGGGTAAAAACACTTAAACATCACATCTGTATGTGAAATTCTGGTTAGTTGTAAGCTTTACTCAAAGTTATTTTCTAAGCTCTCCTTTTTTGTCACAGGGAAGTCCATGAAAACACATTCACATCAGGAATTGGGTTATTTAGAAATGTTCACGAGGATGCCCTACAGGTAGTACACAGAATGAAAGTATTCTCTTTAAATCCACTTTATTCATCCTCTAACAGACATTTGTGGATTTACTGCTCTTTCCCAGGCCCCAGGTCCACAGTCAGGAGTAACTTCTTCCTGAAGGTGCTCTCAGTGCAGTCACTGGATAGATGTAGACACAGATAAAAATACTTCGGACTAAAACTCTGAAGAGACATTGTGAGAACAGTACTAAGTTGGTAAAAATTCAAATCTAAGAATTATAACTTGACATGATCCTCTTTTACAGAAAATGAAAATCAAATAATATTTCTCTGGAACTAGTCTTTAAAATATGGATGTATACAAACATTTTACTTTAAAAGATACAAGAGCACAATTCAGAGTCAAATTCCCTTCCACTCTAGATGCTATCCCCAGAGCAGCCCATAGTGATGACTGTTTGCTGTCCCTTTGCATTAGCATACACATCTATACCCACCTTAACACAAAAATTACATACTTTGCTTTCTTTTGTTACACCGTATTTTGGAACTTGTTCTTTATGTCCCTACATATCTGCACCTAATTTACTTTATCTTCATTTTGGAGGTTACTTTGTCTCCTTTATATAATCTCTCATTTATTTAATGACCTTCATTCATTTAGTAGTATCCCAACATATGGATAGACATATAAATTTAATTCTTAGAGGACATAAAAACTACTTCCCTACCATTTGTTATTACAAATACTGTTGGAGCACACCACAGGGTTCTGGAAAGTGGTAAATAAGGTAATGCAGGTGAAGATCTCAGCACTTGGCTTGGCACAGCAGCATGAACTTGCTTCTTGGTATGTATTAGCATTTTATCTCTTGTATACACAGGCAAGTATATCCTTAATATAACTACAAATCTCAATCTTTAGCATAAATACATGGGTCTACTATCTGAGAATTTTACATTTTAATGGGAGCTATCAAATTTCATTCTATAGACCCATATACTTTTTTTAGGAGCTGTGGTTGAACCCAAGGCTAGCTTGCTCTCTCTCTCTCTCTCTCTCTCTCTCTCTCTCTCTCTCTCTCTCTCTCCCCTCTTTCTCTTTTTTCTCTTTCCATATATATCTTTGCCAATCCCTAGTATATATAAATTTTAGCTCCTGATTGATATGCATAAGGTTGTGCATCTTTTCATATACCATCATTTGTGCATTTTGTCAGTATAGTCTTATTAAATTTTATACTCCTTTATTTAGACATATTTTTTAGGTTTTTCTGGTACTAGAAATCAAACTTAGAGCCTTGCATTTGCCAGGCAGGCACAGTGCCACTAAGCTACATTGCTGGCCCCTAGTTTATCACTTTAGATCACTATATTTTTAGAAAGATATAGAACAAAAAATATTTCCTGAATAACCCAAGACCTATCAGAAAATTCACGATGCCCAAATATTTCATTCAACTCAAAGAACAAGTCTAAATAGGAAAATTAAATGTAATATGATTTATTCCCTAGGTAACTAGGTTGGCTGAATTAGTTCAAGGGATGAGGGCATGAGGCACTTTATTGAAGTGTAGGATGCGACTCTGCTCCAGTTCTGTATTTGAATAATCTGTGTTCCTTGATAAACTCCAATCACATATTTTCCTTTATTATATGTTGAGCTGTAAGCAAAAATAATTAAAGTACTTTTCATTATGATCTCAGCACTTCAGATATTCCTCTAAGTAAAAATCTTAGACAACAATCCTTTTCCTCCCTACATTTTGATCCTAACAAACCTTTATTGAATGCTCAGGTGAGGAAATACCTCACTTAACAGACTATGCTTTTTGTTTGTTTTTGTTTTTAACATCTGCCACCAAGAAGCCAGCTGTATTTAATGGGGTAGTTTTGATGTTGTTGTTGTCCCAGATGAACTAATTTCAAAATATAGGAAAAAATATTCTAAAGAATGGTTATAGAGTAAGATGTATTAGTAAATATTTTGATGAACATAGTCTATATCAGATAGTGTCAAGGATTTATTTTGTTAGGGATATCAGCAGTGTTGTTGTACAGAAAAATGTTGGTTTTTTGGAAATACAGTCCTATGTACTCATGGACAAAATGGCACAATACCTTCAATTTTTAGATTCACAGCAGAATTTACTTTAAAATACTTTGGAAAGAAAAGCAAATTTGACCATTGGTTAGGAATCATCAAATCTAGATAAGTATATTGATGTTCAGCATACAGCTTTCTCCAACTTCCAATATAGTTGAAAGTTTTAACATATGTCCCACAATTTAATATGAAAACTTAAACAACCAGCTAGCTTGAGGAAAGAGGTTAAATTTAAGAGAATTTGAAGATATAGTCAAAACAGCATTCAAAATATAGAACTCATGATAACACAGGAAAGGTCAATCAAATTTGCAAAAGGCAGATTCTTACTTTGGTAATCTCTCTAGTACTTAATATTGTGACTCTTACTTCATCAATCTGATTTCGTGTTTGCTAACACAAGGTCTTGAATGTTGACATAAATTTAGGTTTCTCCTGAGTGTTACAGACCCCACATGTCTCCAAGGAGATAATATCCCCGTATTCTATTGCAGAAATGATGACTAGCACTATTTTGAGAGCCATAAGAACTGAAACTGACATCTGTCTATCCCCTAAATCAATGAGTTTCCAAATGGGGATGAAGAGCTCTGGAAGCCATTACTACAAAAAGACATCAGTGTTTGGCTAACTTACAACTAGAAGTTGCAGAAATCCTCTTCTTTGCTCTAATGCTTCCTTTTTATTTTCTTATTTAAAATAAATTGAGCTATAAATAAGAGTGGTAACCATAACTCATTAAAATCATGGAGAAATCATAGGATTGTTTTTAAAAACCCTCAATTTTTTTCTCTTTTTTTAAAGATAAGGTCTCTTAGTGCAGACTAGCCTCTAACTTGCAGTGATCCTCCTGCGTCAGCCTCCCAAGTTCTGGGATTCTAGGTGTACACCAACATGCATGCTTTGCTAAAAATTAACAACTTTTTGGCAATGACATATATCAGAAGAGTTTTGAATTTCAGCAAAGATGAAACTTAAAACTTCTTAGAGCAGATTATGCTGATTTCTTGTAGTGGAGAAAAACTCAGGATCTTATTTTACGTTATATTCATATTAATATCTTCTAATTAAGAAGAAAATGCAAATAATTCTCTTTCATCTCACAGCAGCAAGAAGGGGAAAGCATGACATTCGACCCCAGACTGGACCATGAAGGAATCTGCTGTATTGAATGTAGGCGAAGCTACACCCACTGCCAGAAGATCTGTGAACCTCTTGGGGGCTATTATCCATGGCCTTATAATTATCAAGGTTGTCGTTCAGCCTGCAGGGTTGTCATGCCATGTAGCTGGTGGGTTGCCCGTATCTTGGGTATGGTATGAAGTGACTTCATATATTAGTTGCTGTCAAATAAAAACAGAGTAGAAAACCAAAGCAGCGTAAGGAACTGCAAAGTATTTTATACTCAAACTGAGCAATGTCTTTATTTTCCAAGTGTTATTCTGGACACTTGAAAAAGAATTTTTCAGTTGCTTTCCAGAATTTTACCCAGTTTGTGTAAATGTACTGAAAGAATTGTTTAAACCTAAAGTATCATAATAATCACTTTTATTTGCTTTGCTTTGATATTAAAGTCTTTTATCAATCTTCCAAAGCCATTATAAAATAAACATAAAAATACTTAAAATTTGTCAAAGATCTGAACAGTTCCTTTTAAAGTTATGACCAAAATCATCCCAGTTATTCTGCTGCTTGTGCAGAATTCAACTACTCTTAACCTTTATTCTTTTTCCCAATCTTGCAAGTGTGAACTCTAGAGTATCTAAAAAGCAAGGCATGTTGTTGCCTATAATCCCAGCATTTGGCTGGCTAAGGCACAAGGATTACTGCGAGGTCAAGGCATCATGGGCTACACGTGAGTTCAAGGCCAACCTGAATTACAGTGTGAGACCATGTCAAAAAAACCAAAACAACAGCAACAACAAAACACACAAAGAAAGATCAGTAAGAATACTGAAGAAAAAAATGTGCTTGAAGGAAAGTCAGACTTGTGGGTAAGAACTTCATTGGCATTCTGAAAAGCATATGTTCACACCCTTTTTAATGTCTCCAACAAGCAATCAAATGAGCAAACAGCAGCATGACGATTCTTACCTTTGTAGTACAAATCAGTTTGCTGATGTAGCCCAATTATGAATAAGTTACTTTCCTAGTAATAGGTTGACAATACTGCTTAGGAGGCATAGCTATGAAAGAATGGTTTGTTTATTTATTTAAAATGACATGAAGGAAATGTCTCAGGAACAAGGGCTCTATTTAAAAGCAAAAAAAAAAATATATATATATATATATATAGATATAGATATAGATATAGATATATAGATCATGAAGATGAGTAAATATTTTATTTTTTTACATTTTAGTTTTGAAGCTCACAGTTGAAAGTTTTACAAAGAAAAACATTACTAAGGGAGGGGCCAGGGAGATGACTCAGTGGAATAAGTGCTTCCCTAGCAAATGCAAGGGTCTGAGTTCAATCCCCAGTTCCACAAAAAAAAAAAAAAAAAAAAAGGAAATAAACTTTCCCAAAACAGGATTCTGAAATGACAGAAAGGTCTTCATGCCATACAGTTATATTCTGAACACTGCACATATTTTTTTTACTGTATTGTGGTGTTTGCCTACTAAAGTAAGGCAATTAGATGAGCCTAGTTATCAAATAGCTCCACTTAATGTATATACTATCAGCTAGGTGTCTGAAAACAACAACAACAAAAAAGGATGAAAAGATATACACTGTGATGACATGTAGTGGTCACACTATTCTCTGGTAGGCTGTAAAGTGGTTTTCATTCTATTAATTAAAGCAAAATACAGACCAACAGTTCTATGCACCAACTCCTACCTCCATGGCTCAGCAAGCTATACCTGCAAATAACAAAACAGTCACAAGAGTAGAGATTTCACTGCACTACAGCTTTGGTACAGGATGTCAGCAATGGGCTTCTTGGAGGATGCCTACTTGAGGCCTTCGAGGATGAACAGGTATTAATCGAATGAAGTAATGAGGTTTACAGGCTGAGAAGTAATCTGAGTATAGCCAGAGGTGGAAAGCTGCATGGTACAAATGGAAAGAATATTGAGGCTGAGTTAAGAAATACCTGTACCAAGTTGGAAAGTAGGCATAAGCTGTACTTTATATGGCTTAAAAAGAGAATTTTTTTTGTTTTTTCTTGTTAGACAAGAGGTAACCATTAAAAGTTCCAGAGAAGGTGGTAGATGGTTGAATTTCCACTTTGAGATAGATTTATTCATAGCTTTTTCTGTGTGAAGTGATAAGGTTCTAGACAGGCCAAAGGGGCCTGTGAGCAGAGCACATCATAAGGGAAGGCTAGGTCCTGAAAGGATGCACCTTTTTCATTGTGCCAAAATTAGAAGAAATCACAGGTAAATAATATACTTTTTAACAGATAAAAGGATACTGTAGTTGTGAAGTCATCAAATATCAAAGAGAACAGAATTAAAATAAAGTATATTGGAGAGTTCGGGAGATAGCTTGGTAGTCTGAGCTCCTGACTGGAAAGTGCAAGGTCTCAAGTTTGATCCCCATGCTGAACCTGCCCTGGAACTCCAGGTGCATGGAGGTGCACTACTATAATTGCAGCACTGAGGAGGCTGAGACAGGAGGATTACTAAGTGTCCAAACAGTATCAAGATGCTGTATGAAAAACAAAAATAAATAAATATTACAATAAAATATATTGAGATATTTTAATGACAAGGAGAAATCTTAAGATTTGTGTTAAGGATAGGAATAGTAGGGGTCCTGTGGAGATGGCTCAGTAGAATAAGTGCTTGCCTTGTAAGTACAAGGGCCTGAGTTCAACCCCTGGTTCTGAAAAAAAAGGTTAGGAATAATAGAAGAGATCTAAATTGTGTTCAAGGAAGAAAAACTTAGCACACTTAGTGAAGGAGGAGTAGACACTGTGAAATAGAAAGTTCTGCAAAACTTGCTACTACTCCTTCAATTTACCTTTAACAAGGTCTGTCTAACAATTGTAAATACAATCCAAAATGCTGTGTTGAATCTTGACTGAAATCTCAGTATCACTTATGTATTCCTGGCATTTAATATTTTTAGGTTAGTTGTCAAGGTCCTAGTTTGACTTAGATTGGAGAGGTGGGTGACTATAGTCTTAGAAGTGGTACTCATCTAGCACAAGAAAAATTAAAATAAGGTATTGCTAGTTTCAATTATATTTAATTGTTCCATCACAGTAATATGCATAGTTGAAAAATGCCCAAAAAACCTTCAGTTGGAACAGGTTTGTAAAACTTGTTAACCTTCTTTTTTTTTCTTTTTCTTTTTTATTTTTTTACACACGCGGGTCTGAATTATTTCACTTATGAGTATGGTCTCTAGTTGCATCCATTTGCCCATAAGGCCTCAAGTTTGTCTTTCTCTATAGCTGAGTAATACTCCATGTATAAAAATATCACATCTATTGTATCCATTCCTCGGGTGATGGACATTTGGATTGTTTCCAAGATTTAGTTATGACAAATTGCACTGTTAGAAACATGGGTACAATATATCACTGAACTATGATGTTTTCAGTTCCTCTGGAAAAATATTCAAGAGGGGAAGAGCTGGGTTGAATAGGACCTCTAATTCTAGTTTTTTGAGAAATCTCCACACTGATTTCCTCAGTGGTTGCACCAGTCTACACTCCCACCTATAGTAGAGAAGGCTTCCTTTTTCCCCACAGCCCCTCAAGCATTTCTCATTGACTGACTTCTTGATGACCACCATTCCTTCTGGGGTGAGATGGGATCTCAGTGCGTTTTAATTTGCATCTCTTGAATAACCAATCATGTTGAACATTTTTTCATATATTTATTTATCATTTGTATTTCTTCTTCTGAGAAGTATGCATTCATCTCAGACGACTATTTTTGAATTAGGTCTTTGAATTTTGAGGCCCTATCGCTTCTCAGCCTTTTGGCTAAGATCAAGTGAATTTTACGGCCTGATTTTAAAAAATTTAAAAAAAATTTTATATGTTCTAGATAAAAGTCCTTTGTCTGAGGGACAGTTGGCTAAAATATTTTCCAATTCATAAATTTTCTTTTTACTCTGTTGGTAATTTCTTTTCTAAAATTTCTTTATTTTTTAATTTTAAATTTAATTAATTGATTTATTTTATTAGGTGATTTATTTTAATGTGCAGAAACTTTTCAAAAAGATGAGATTCCCGCTGCTGAGTCTTTGAACTACTTCCTGTGCAGTTTGTTTGTTTTTTTTACCCTTCTTTATTATTTATTTATTTTCAAAAAATAATACACTGAATATATTCTTCTTAGCGGTTAATTGCTGTACAAGATGCGGACTTGTGATCCTATTTACAAACACCATTAGAACAAATCATTCTATTCATTAAGAGAATGCA